GATGGACTTCCTCGGGCACCCTCTCTGAGGGGATGAGGTATCCAGTTATTTCCGGTGACTGACTTCTGCCCATCCTGGTAGAGAGGACAGGAGGACAGTTTCAAAGTTTACGTACTGCGTTTAAGCAAATAGAAGGAGGGCCAGGAATTTTCTTGCATCTGCTTCTTTTCAGTTTGAATTGTCAGCTCAAAATGATCCTTATGCCAAGGTGGCATATTGTGGGGTGGCCTGTTAGTTCCCTTCCCTGGCACAGGGAGACAGTGAGGATCCGGGCAGTGCAGGCTGGAAACGGGCAGTATTTGTGTACGTTGTGGCAAAATATTTGCTGAAACTTTACGACACACTGCTGTAAGGGAAGGGGCTCTTGGAAAGAACAGAATATGAGAGTATTTTTGGTTGTCTTTTAAGATTTGGCAAGAAATTCATAGAGTTAAGCTCAGCAAGACGTTAGCCATTTGTGATCAGAGATACAAGGACTTGTAACGAGTCCAGAGGCTTGGAATCCTTTAGGGTTGGGAAGGGCAACTGGGTCTGAACTCTTCAGAGCTTTCCTCAAGGGTCTATTAAAATGCTTTCTGCAAAATGCAGGGACTTAGGCCTCTGGCAAAGCCTGGAATAAGGGTGTGGTTTTTCTACCCAAACCTGTCTCTTAGACGGCTTGAGGTATTGGAGTCACCTTTATTAAAATGAAGAAGAGAGGCCAGAAGGGGCTCAGAGGCTAATAGTGCGGGTTAGTGAAATATGGTTGGAAAAGAATATTGAGTATGGATACCAGCACTTGAGCAGACATAAAAATATGCCAGAAGCTACTAAGGTTTTAAGGATATCATATTGCCAAAAAAATGACAAGCCTAGTGAAAAGGAGAAATATATTTTTCCTCAACTCTCCTAAGTTTGTAGCTGAGACAGGTTGTGTTAGGTAGTGTTCTGTTACTGTAACAAATATCTGAGATAAATTAAACAGGAAAACTTGACTTGGTCACAGTTTTGGAGGTTTTGGTTCCTGACTGGTTGCTCTGGGCCTGCGGCAAGGCGGGTGATCATGGCAGGATCATGTACTAGAGCCCAGCTCACCTCAGGGCCGGGAAGTAACAAGAAGTGACCCAGGTCTCAGATCTCCTTCCCGGGCACGCCCCAAATGGCCTAACTTCCTCTCACTGCCCTCACCTCACACAGCCCTCACACCCCCCAGAAGTGCCACCCAGACACCAAACCTTTAACTGTGCACGGGCCTGAGGGGACACTTGGGATCTAAACTACAGCATAGATCCCTGCACCGAAGATAGAGTAATAAGAGAAAACCAAGAACGTTTGTCAGTGCTTGCCAAGAGCGTCAAACGGGAGGAGTTGCTCAAAGTGGTGGCTTAGGAGCCTGTCACAAATAGATCCTCGGTACAGTACCTTTCAGAGAGGTGCCAAGGCGACAGGAAGAGGTGAGAAAACTGTGGGAGGTAAATGTACGGAAACATGTCCTGCCGGCAGAGTCCTCCGGAGGCCCCGTCTCCGAGCCGAGAAGTCGGCACCGCAGAGAATTTGTATCTATTCTTTAGGTAGAAAAGGGATGGGGCACAAAGTAGGAGCACCTTTAACACCTTTTGCCTTCCTAAGTCTTTGTCCTGCTTCTAGCAGAGGGAAGTCAGAGAGTTTCCTTGGATTCTGACTGTCATCAGCTCAGTAATCCTTCATATTTTGGGGCAGAGGTGCCCGGCTTCCTCTGATAGCTTGTGAAACCTTCTTATTGTTCCACCCAAACCATCCCTAAGTAGATCATCTTTTCTAACACCTACTGCAGATTTGGACCTGGTAGCAGTAGGCAAGAAAGCGCTTTCTATGCAAATCTGGGCCTGGGAGAACATGATTATTTCCACAGAGCACACTGGCTGAGTATAAAACTCACTTTATTGCCAGAATAACGTTCTGTGATTTTTGCCCAGCAGGAGTTGATAATCCTGGATGCCAGGGCCTGTGTGCCGCCTTCTTCTCCCTTTCCCACGTGCGCGTCCTGCTTCTGTTGTTTGCTTCCGCACAGCATTGCAGTACTGGGTGTGGCACAGAGCAGGGTATTGGAACAGACTTAAAAGATCTTGAATTTACAGGCACCTGATCTACAAAGGTCCCCTGAAGAACGCTACTTACAGTTTCTGTGCTTTCAGTTGGATTCAGCAACTGGATGGGACCTCTGGTTTCTCCTTTGAGGGAAGACTGTGGCTGTTTGTGGAATGCAAATGCTTGTCAGTGTGGAGAGACTGAGGCTGGGGATATAGCTCAGTGGCATAAGCGCCTGCCTGGCAAGCACAAGGTCCAGAGTTCGATTCCTGGTACCAAACAAAAAAAAAACACCACAAGCCAGTTTATAAAAAACCCAAAATTAAAAAAAATGTTTTAAAAAAAATTGTGGAGAGATGCAGAGAAGGCGCTCTGGCGGAGATGGCCAGGTATGGAGCAATGTCTGTTTCCCACAGCCCCGCAGCAAGACAGGTGTGACGGGGCTCGGGCTGCTGGTCTACCACGTTCCTGGGCTTCCTCACAGTTAACAAAAACCACGAAACTGTTCTCGGCAAAGGAGCATGAGCTAGCTTTGGTCAGAGGCTTTTCTCTTTCTCAGCTGTTGAAATCTCGCCTGAAGTTTGATTCAGCTTTCTCTGTGGATGCGGTGACAACAGACTAAGAGATTACGGAGCAAAGGGATCAACAGAACCCAAGCCCTTGAGTGGTTCCTCCAAAGACGAACTGCTCCCACTTGCGGTGCCCACATGAGGACACAAGGAGCTTAGTTCTTCTTTCAGTCAGTGTGCGGTTGGTCTTTGCGGTAACAGTTCAGCTCTTACCCGAAAACACACGCATCTCCCCTTCGTACCGGGCGCTTGTATTTATCAACGTTCTGCTGAAGCAGACACAAGAGCAACAGCCAAGTCCATGCTGCAAAAAAGGATGAGCATGGTGCAGAGCGCTAAACACAACGTCAGGTTGTCCTTCTTTCTGTTTGCCAATGTCCATTTTCCAGAATTTGCACGGGGTGCTTCTCAATGGCATTCTTTATTTACTTTTTTTTTATTTTTGAGACAGGGTCATGCTATGTAGTTCAGGCTGGCTTTGAACTCACTATATAGCCCAGGTTGGCCTTGAACTTGCAGCGATCCTCCTGCTCCAGCATCCCAAGTGCTGGGATTACAAGTGTGCACCACCACACCCAGCCAGCATTCTTTATTTAATCCCCGGTCTCCCAGAATACATGATAATCTCTGATTCCCAAGTCCAGCATGTCAGCACACGCATGCTGTGTTTTCACAGTGTCTCATGCTCCTGGTTTTCCTTTCTGAAAATTGTCACTTTCCTTTTTGTGCTATTTTGCCTCGATGACTGCTGAGCACTCCTTTCTGGCCTGCCTGCCCATCTTTATGACGGAAGTAATTTCTAGGGTCAGTCCTCGACTCCCCTGTTCCTGCTGTGTGGTGACTCTGGCTTACGTCCCCTTCTCAGAGAGCGGCTCTCCGAGGACGATCCCCACAGCCATTGCTGTGCCCCCTTGCATTTCAAACTGCCTGGAGTACATCACCGTACAGCTCGAGCCACCAGATCACACTGTGTGTGTGTCCATTTTGCAGATTATTTTAAGGCATTTATTAAATGTTGCACACTGCTGGGTATAATGGAGGGTAAATGGGTAAAGTCCCAGCCTACTCGAGCTTATATTCTACCATCCTCACAAGGGCCCTGTGGGAGGAACTTTCCGGTGCGAGGAAAATTCGAGGAATTTTGTGGATTTATACCCCACAGTTGCGATCTGGTTGGCAATCTAATTTGTGGTTTTATGTGGTAATCAAACCAAGGACACGGATAGGGCTTTTTAGGAAAACAGTGCACTGTGAGAAAGAGACGCCGTGGGAGGAACTGCAGCAATTAAAGGTGAAGCGCTGCAGAGGACAGAGAGCCAGGACACAGCTGTGGAGTGGCCAGCTCCCGGCGCAGGAGGAGACCCAGAGGTGGAAGGCTGTTTTCAGAGAGAGAAATAACAGCGTCGTCATGTGCAATTGAATCCATTAAGGGAAAGGTCCAAGATATTCAAAAGATTTAGGGATGCCGGGTCTACATGACGCTGGTGAGGGGTATTTACGTAGAACGAGGGAGAGAAAGCCAAATGAGAAATAACCGAAAAGGGAGCAAGGCAGGACCAGAGGGAGATGGCCGGGTGCCCGGCTCCTCAGGAGGAAGGGCAGCCAAGGGGAGCTTGCCGGGCGCCCTTGGACGGGAGTGGGAAGGGTCCAGGGAGAGGCAGAGCCGAGCCCACCGCACAGCTGTGCTTGGAATCCCACCTCCCCGCGTCTACCACACGCCTCTCAGACGCCCTCCGCACGGCTCTTCCTCTGGGAGAGAAGTGAGGCCTCGGCTGTCGTGTGACGCACTTGGTAACTCTACATGGAGAGTGTTCTAAGTAGATTCTTTTGTTTTTAACCAAAGTGGAAATGACAGCTATTCCTTCGGGAACAGAAATTGTGTGTGTGTGTGTGTGTGTGTGTGTGTGTGTGTGTGATGTTAGTAGCAGGGTTCACCAGATGAGAGAAGTATCCAGTTATCTATTACCGTGTAAGAGACTGCCTCCAAGTTTAGCGTAGAGTCATCCACTGTGCTCACAGACTGCCCACTGCAAGTGCTTGTCTTTGCTCCACAATGTTCAGGGCTTCGGCCTCAGAGACAGGAAGGCTGGATAACTCCCTGGGGGCTGGGAGGCTTCCTCCTTCACACGTCTGGCAGGTGACACGGGCTTTCTGTTGAGATCGCAGCTGGGAAGGTAACCTGGAACACTGCTAGGGATTATGGTCAGTGTGTCACACGTGGGAGCATACGTCTCCCTGCACACCTGCCTGACAGTCGTAGCTGTGTCCCTTTCCTCCCTTCCTCTTAGGGCTTTGTTTGCAGCTCCTTTAAATGCCAGGCATGTGTGCTAAAAATAGCTGTTCCAGTTTCTTGCGATTCCACTCAGGTGAGCCCGCCTCCTGCCTTGCTCTGGGAAGGCCGCGTTCACCTGGAGGCTTTGTTAGCGGTCTCTGTGTTCTTTCTTCTCCAGCAACTGCCGCTGACCCCTGCGCACCCTCCCCGGGCTCCCGAGCAGTGAGTGCGCAGCCTGCTGCACCGCAGGAGCGGGGGGACTCGGCAGCCGCCCTCAGACCGGGCGGAGGGGGCGGGAGGGGCACGGAGGAAGCCTTCCAAGGGGAAATGTCAGTGCTGCAGGAAGTGGTCGCTTCTCATCTTTTAAGATTCGGAGAGCCGGCTCGAGAGGTCCGTGTGCAACACCGCTGGAAGGGAGCGGAGACAACGAGCGGTCACCGGAAGGGGCAGGCGAGGTGTGGGGGGCTCTGGTCCGCATCCTGAGGGCCACGTTTTATTTCAGATTCCGGTAACACAGAAGGTGAAACCAAAAGCTTGGGGTGAATGGTGTCTCGATTTGAGGAATATTCACAAGGCAAATCGCCCAGCCTAGAGCTGACGCCTCAGCTGTGTGAGCCAAAAATTCTAATTTGTGAGCACACGGAAAGACCCTTTTAAACAGCTTCATCGAGGTATAATTAATGTGCAAACCACCGCTTATATTTAATGCATGCAGTTTGATGAGCTCGGCTATGTGAATACACTTGTGTCAGCGCCATAGCCAAGGCCGTGAACTCACCGCTTCCAGAAGTTTGCCGTGTCCCTTTGTGAGTGTGTGCGTGGCAGGAACACAGGTCACGAGCTCTGTCCTCTTACGCTTTTCGCTGCCCACCACGCTGTCTACAGTGGCTGCAGCCCGTGCGAGCAGCAGGTCCAGAGCTTGCTTAGAGGTGGTGAGGACGTCATCTTGCAGGGTTCTTGCTGTGTGGCCACTGAGGCCCAGCTGCCGTTTCTCCACGCCCGCCCTGCGACCCACTGCTCTGCTTCCTGCGTCCTCAGTGAGAGCAGCCCCTACGGTGTCCAGAGAAACACTTTGGAAGGGAAAAGTCTAATATTTACTTGGCTTACAAAGATGAAGTGTAGATTCACCAAAGAAACATAAAAGAGGAGCAGAGAGGAATGGGAGGAGCTCCGTCACAGGACTGGTCAATCCACAGTGCCGCTTATACAGAGGGACTCGCTCCCAGAGCCCTGCTTTAATCGGAAGAGTGCCTGGTGGTCTCCACAGAGACCTGGTGGACCACCTCCACAGAGGGGTCCATTTGTACACTAGAAATTGCCTTGCCAACCAGCCCATAATAATCACTGCTCTGGGGGAATCTTCCTTTTGTCTTTTTCCTTTGTGGCACATCTGCTATCTTTTCTGATGAAATTATTTTTCTCTGATAGGTGTTTTTTTTTTTTTTTTTTTTTAGAGGGGGGAGGAAATCAAGGAAGATAATATTTAAATTTTTTAAAAAGGAATTTAAAAAATCTCTGGACAGAATTAGTCTACCTTTAAGTGTTAATCCCTTTAAAGCACTCTTGCTTAAGAAAGGATGTGAAAGCAGCGACACACAGTTGCACACACATGCACACACGTGCACACATGTATACGGGAATCTGTGTTTCACTCTAGCCACACCTAGAATTACAAGTGTGAGACACTCTGTCTTTTTCATGGGATCCGTTGGGTTATGTCTTGGGCTCTCAATCTTGCATGTAATCAGACCCCCTGTCTCCACCTGCCCCACCCTCTCTGTCCTCAAGCCAAGAGTCCTTGTAGATCACGTGACCGTGGCCACAGAGCACAGCGCATATCCTTTCATGCCTGTTTTCTTTCCCTTCATATAAAGCTGTGAGATTCAGCAGTGATGTCGCCTGTGGCTGTAGACAGTCGGATCTGCTATGGTATAAGTTTTCATCATGTGACGATACCACAACTTATTTCCCAGTTCTGCCAGCAGTGGACACCGGGGTGAGTTCGTCTGGGTTGTTTTGAGCGCTCTCATGAACATCACAGCGAGTGCTTTCTGGGGATCAGATGTGTAATTTTTCTTAGATTTATCCCTGGGCGTGAAACTACAAGGTAGCCCATGTTCAGGCTCAGCGTAGCGAGAGGGTTTTGAGGTGCACATCAGCCCGCACCCCGACCTGTGGATGCCCTCACCGGCTCCTTTACGGCCTGGTGAGCGCAGTCCAAACTGGAGGGCCCCGCAGCAGCAGCCTGTGTCTCGTCACCCAGTTTCGCCTCACACCCGCTTCTCCTCAGCCCGTCGGTGCCCACGTGGTTGTTTTTCTGGTGTGCGTTCCCCCGCCCTCAGCCGTGCACAAAGCCCGACGGTCAGCGGCTCGTCAGATGCTTTCACACATCGCTGTCTCGGAGAAGCTCTTCTGATCACGGCTCTCCAAGATCTGACATCTTATTCTCTCTCCTTCTGTCAAATCTCTTCAGGACAGGCTCGGAAATACATACCTTTTCTTGTTTTGTTTTGGTGCTAGGCACTGAACCCACGGCGCCATGCCCACTAGGTACCTGCTCTGCTACTGAGCTGTATCCCCGCCGCTCATGACGATTTTATTGTCTCATTTACCTGTGTTTTACTCTGTGTGTGTGCCCACCCCCACATATCATGATATAAACATTCTGGGGGGATCCCAGCTCTGGTGGTTTAAGCAGTAGCTTCAGGGCTGTCCCGCTCCTGGTGGAGGGGCGCGGCTACCGCTGGCCTGATGGGCGGTGAGCACAGGTGCGTCTACGTGAAACACGCTTCCTTCACACTATCTGGAGCCTGCTCTTGTAGGCTCAGAATGTCCTGTCTTGTACTCTTGCATTTTTGTTCTGTACCTGAAAATCATGGCAAAATGTGTGTCTGTGTGTTTGTAATATGTTTTCGTTCTTTCATCTTTAAAATAAAAAAATTTAAAATACGGGAACTCCTCATAAACGAGCTCAGTGCCCGACGGCTTGTTTCTGGGCTCAGTCTTGCAGTGTAGAGCGAGGGTTGGATGTAAACAGACCTCCTGTCCTGCCCCTCAGCCGCCTCCTCTCCCACAGAGGCCAGGCCGGGCTGGAGCTGCAGGTGATGAGGGAGGGACAGGGCTGGGTGCTCAGGAGTGTCCCCAGCTGGTGGGCGTGAGGCCCTGCATTCCATCCCTGGTGCTGTGGGAAGCAGACGTGATGACAGTATGAAGCCAGTTTGCCGAAGCCCAGTGTGAACAGGGACTGTATTTACGGGTCTCTCTTTCTACTCCTTAGTGGGGATCGGCTGAAGCTGCAAACTGATCACGAGTATGGGTGGGCTGGAGCAAGGCCCATCTGAGAACAAAGAGCACCCGAGGTAAGACACATATACAAGCTGCTCCAGCTCCCACAACAGGAGGCCTCCCACAGCTGCCATGCAAACAGGTTGCTAGGCAGAGTGGTGTCACCTGACTTCAACTGAGTGTAAAAATAAAAGCGCTAAGGTGGTTGAGCTCCTTTCCTCCTGTCTGGAGAGAGGGCTCCACCTGACCTCAGCTTTCTGCACTTACTTCTCCACCCTCCCACTGTCCTTTCCCCTGCGAACTTCAGAGCCACACCAGATGCAGCACTCTTCCTTTGTATCTCTTTGTGCTAGTACATGTTTGCAGTGCAGCATTTTACCATCCTCGATGCGGGAGTACTTGCATAGAACACACCTTGCTTCCTTTACTTTTTAGTCCCCTTCCCCACCCTCCCAGTCCCCCTTTCCTGTTTCCATTCTTATTGATCTTATCAATCTCTGCACATGTTTATGGCATATCATGTTTTCATTCATTGAGGTTGTTTGGTTTCTGTACGTGGTTTATCTTTAATCTACTTCTGCTCCTCCCTACCCCTCACCCTTGGTCTCTTGGACCTCTTTCCATTTGCAAGAGATCTGCTCAGCCCCCTTTGATACATTCTTTACAAATTTCTTTGTTGTGTTTTGCCTCACTCAAATAAGAGATACCTACGTATTTGAGCCTATGAGTCTGTTTTATTTTACTCAGACTTCTATTTTCCAGGTGCATCCATTTTCCTGCAAATGAAGCTTCCTTCCCTGTAGGTGGAAAGGTCAACTAGTACAGCCGCTGTGCAAATCAGTATGGAGATTTCTCAGAAAACTAAAATTAGGAATTCCCTATGACCCAGCGCTGCCCCTGTAAGTATCTTCCTCGAAGAGTTTAAGACCTCATGCTGGAGTGACACTGGCGTACCAGGTGTACAGGGGCACAGCCCGGGGTAGCTCAGTCCTGGAAGAGCCCACAGACCCGTCAGTGGGTGACTGGATACAGAAAATGTGGTGTCTCTGCTGCATGGAATTCCGCCCGGCTACGCAGAAAGGCAAGTTTGAAACATTTGCAGGAAGATGGATGCTCCCCTTCTACCCTTACCGCCCCTCAGGAGACTGTAATTCCAGCTGTAGGTCTTGGCACCTTTCAAAGTGTGAAATTGGTGTTTATTATGTAATTGTTGAATGAATTGTGGATGTGACCCTGGGTTTTGTCACACACCAGCAGCCTCTGACTTGTCTCTTACCCCCCTCTGCACCACAGTTCTTACAATTTCTATTTCTATTGTGGCTAACGTCAGCAAGCACACTTGTTTTTGTTTCTTTGCTCAGTGAAAGTAGTTGATCCCTTGGAAGAACCGTGGGAGAAGTCTTAGTACTTCTCTGTTCTTATGCAAGTAATCAAAGTTTTCTCAGCCAGTGATCAAAATTCCCAGACCCGTACACAGTAAAAGCTCCAGTTTTATGTGAAAAGTTATTCCTGTTTGGGGAATACGGGTGCGGTCAGGAGCAGAGAGGAGAACCTGGACTTGCCCCCGTCGGCTCCCCGGCTTTGGCGCAGGTCGTTACTGTGCTTTCCCTGCTTCCTTTCCTGGGCTCCTCTGAGTCCGCCACCCGGTCTCTGAGCCCTGCCGCGGCTCTGCGCCAGACCCCTGGCCCTCGCCCCGCAGTCCCTCCGGGCTGAGCCCCGCAGTCCACAGTCCTTGCTGTCCGTGCGGCTCTGCTGTCCCGCTTCTTTGCGCAGACGCCTTCTAAGTCAGGTGTGGTGTCACCACGTGTCCCGAATGACCTCCCTTTAAATCCTTTGCAACTGAGGTGAAAGGGAAAGTTCATGGGGTAACCGATTATCCCGCTTTGCCTGGGATTACTCTGGCTTTAGCATCAAAATTCTCACTTTCCTGAAGGCAAGTGAAATACAGGAAGTCCCGCTCTCTGTGCATTTATAAAGGGACAGAGACGGGGTGAGCACAAAACTCCAATGACAGCTCCCAAGTAGGGACAAACTACTTTCGGTGTCAGGTACAAATGGTATAGACTATCCATCTGTGTGTGTGTGTGTGTGTGTGTGTGTATTGAACCCAGGCTGGGCTACCTTTTGATCTTCCTGCCTCAGCCTCCCAGAGTGCCAGAATTACATGGTGTGCCACCATGCCTGGCTAATTATTCATCTCTCGTACCGCCAAAGGGCACCCTCAGCTGGAAATGAGTCAGCGCAGCGTAGATGACCGGCTCTTCCAGACAGCCATCTGATAACGTCAGCGCTAGACCACGGTGACAAAATCCTCCACACATTAATTCCTGACACGTAATTTTACATGCATATATTGATACTTTGAATAACACATGACATCATTTCATATTCATGGTGGCTGGATGGAGGGTAACATGACTCATTCAGAGAGACATTTGTAGACAGTAACGATAGGACGAACTAGGAAAATGGTGTACCTGATGGAAGCACGAGCTTGGATTTTACCTTTTAGTGCTGGGGACCCGGCCTGTGTGCGTGCGCGGCAAGCGCTCCGGCTCCAACTCTCACTCCCTGCCTCCTCCCCCTTCTTGCTGTTCCTCGGGCTGACTAGAACTCACCCCCTCCTGCCTCAGCCTCCTGAGTAGCTGTGATTACAGGCTCTTGTCACTGGCTTCTAACAATAATTTAATAACGTATCTTCCTGCCTAGTGATCCAGTAATTTATTTTGATTCTATTTTAAATTATTTTGGGTGAAGTATAATTTACTAGCAGCTCTCTGAAAAGACTGGGAAGCAAAGGAAGACAAATCAAAATTCCTCTCTAACTTCCGCCCCTGTCATGTTCCATCCGTGATTCAGATGGGTACAGAAATGTGGAAATCAGACCAGCTACACAGAGGTCTCCACCTTGGAACTGGGGTGCCTCAGACCCAGCTTTCTGCATTTAGCAAACATGTTTTATTTATTTTTTAAAATTTCTGAGGAGTGTTTGCTCACTTTCCGTTGTCACGTGAAGGGTCCCTTCTCTGAACGTCTGTGCGCCTGCCCATCACGAATTCTCCCTTCTCGAGTGCTGGGGGGATCAGGACCCCCGGACCTCAGCTCAGACTGTGAGCTCCACCGGGGCTGCGGACCGGCTGCTGCTCATTGTGAAGTGCTCAGCTGGCTGGGGCTTCTGATAATGGAAAACAGCCCCAACGCTAGCTGTCTGCTTCCACAGAGCTGGCGAGGTCTCCTTGCTCAGTATGACTGGTAGGTGAAAAGCTGTACATTTCCTTACCCATTTTAGTGCATTAGCTTACAGTGTGTGAATATTTAATGTTTAGATGGAAGCATGTCTGATTAATAGAAGATTTGTGTTACTGTACTTCTCTGTAGACTACTCCTACGGGAACGTCTCACCTCTCCAGCTATGCAGAAGCTTCTCCAGGGCACCAGGCAGGAGGACCAGGTCACCTGGGCTTATGGGTTTATTATATTACATGGACAGCAAACCTGTGTGGACCAAAGACCTGTGTGGGCAAAACAGGATGTAGTGAACATTTTTCTCTCCTCTACCAATCTCCCAGCCCCTTCCTTAGAGATAAACATGTTAGGAGTTTCTTGTAAACCTTCCAGGAATATTTTATGCATATGCATGCAAATACATTCTCCTTTCCCCTTTCCCGCCCCAGATGGTGTGGTTTATTATATGCCTATACCAAATGTGGCTTTTTTCTCTTTAATAATCTGTTCTGAATATCTTCAATGTCAGTACTTAAAGAATCTCATTTGAAGCTCCAAAGCACTTTTTTATGAGTATACTAACATTTACTGGCACTATTTATTGATAAAAACATAGGGCAAATCTCATTTTTGTTGTTACAAACAATGCTACTGTGACTAAGCTTCTACCTTTTTCTTTGTAAATGGGTCTTGTAATGGTTGGTACATCTTGTCAACTTGAGAAGTTTAGAAGCTTAACTGAGGAACTCAGCAGTTCTACATCCCGGAGTGTAGAGGACATGACTTAGGGTGGCTGTTTATGCTCCAGCATATTGTAATGGTTGATTAATTGTGTTGACTTGACAAGTTTAGAAGTTGAAGTGACTCAGCAGGGGGCCAGCGTCCTCACTTTGTAAACATCCTGAGGCCATGCCAAAGGAGGGCACAGACACAGTGTGAGCACTACACCTGCCCTAGGGCGGGTAGCCTGCGTACAGTATAAGGGAGGAAGAGGCTTGTCCACCCCTTTCTGTGCTCCTGTTGCTTTTGCTGTCTTCCCCACCACCACGAGTTGCTGCCCGTCTGCCACCACCCTCCGCCCCCCCGCCTCAAAGCCAGCTAATTATGGACTCCAACCTCCACAAACCGTGAGCTAAACAAACCTTTCCTCCCTTAACTTTGGGTGTCAGATATTTTGTCTCAGCGATGAAAGAAAAGTAACTAAGATAGGTCTCTATGTTCAACCACAAGCAGATTTGATGGATGAGAGAGATATGTTTTTAAATCTTGGTATTTTAAATATCACCCTCCACAAGAATTATGCTATCTCAACTGTCACCAGTAAGTTATGAGTAGGTCTGTTTCCCATACTCCTGCATGTTTGCAGTATTTTCTTTGCCAGTCAGAAAGGGAATTTCCCAAGAGCCCCAGTTCACACTTCTCTGTGAGTGAAGCGAACATTTTGTGAGCCTTCTGTGGTTGCATACCACATTGCCACAAAGGTAGTGGCTTTAAGACACAGGCACCCATACATTGTACACTGATTAACTACTTTCAAGACAACAATACTCAGGGTATTAACTATTGTTATTCTCCTATTATTTTGTTATGAAATTGATCTTCTGCCTCCAGAGATGGTGAGTCCAGGCCTGGATCAGCTGTGTCCTCTGCTGAGGTCTCTCTGGCTGTGTGGTGGGGTCTGCCTACCTGGCTTCTCTTCAGAGCTTCTACAGGAAGGACGGGTCTACGTCACATCCCTCAGGCTGGTGGTGGGATTCAATTCCCCTCAGTGGGAGGAATGGGCCCCATTTTTCTTGCTGACCTTCAGCTGAGACTCTCTCAGCTAGAGGAAGTTGGCTTTCCTTAGCCGAAACCTGACAACACAAGCTTATGTCTTCAGAGTTAGCACAAGAATCTCACTTCGGTCTGATAGAATGAAGTCCTGCATAACATGATGGGATCAAGGAAGCAACCACCCTAGCATGTTTACCTGATGCTGTAACCTAGTTGAGGCAGCAGTTATCCTACCCGGCCCACAGTTCCTACCCACACTCAAAGGGAGAGGATGACTCGAGTTGTAGACATCAAAAAGTACAGTAGGCTTCTGGGGTCAGTTTAGGACGCTACATTGCATATCATGAGGATTTTTCATACGTTTAAGAGCCACTTGCAACTGGGTGTGGTAGCATGTGCCTGCAGTCCTAGCTACTTGGGAGGCTAAGGCAGGAGGATTGCAAATTTGAGGCAGACTGAGTAATTTGTTGAGACCTTGTCTCAAACTAAGAATTTGCAAAGCACTAGGGATGTAGCTTGCTGGTAGGGCATTTGTCTAGCATGTGTGAGGCCCTGGGTTAAATTCCCCAGTGCAAAAAAGAAAAAAAGGAGTCATTTGTATGTCCTTTCTGTGTGTGATCTTTTGATATTCTCTGGCTATTGTTTTCACATATTTGAGTACATACCCACACTGGGCAAGCTTGCCCTTTCAGAGAGAGACAAGCTGAGCGCAAAGGGTTTGTGTCACTGTGAACCTGCTTTGCAGGTGCTGTTCTGCCAGGGTGCGTCCAACCTGTCTCTCTGACCCCTCCTCTGCAGGGATGGCCTCTGACTCCTAGATCCTGTCTCCCTCCTTCTCGAGCATAAAGGCCGCCCGGATCTTAATGGGACAGACTCAGTCAAGCTGACCCCACCTGCACGGGGGACCAAAACTCGCATTCCCCTGATCAAACCCTGCATCCCGTTTCTCACAGGACGGGGTCTGTGACTACTTCCGGCCACCCTGCTGATCCGCACCATCTTCTTGTCCTGTGGCCGCTGGCTCGTGACCTTAGCTCTGCCTGCCGACTGCTTCCCTTCACCCTCTGTAGCACAACCACGGGTTCCTGGGGTCAGGACACTTTCAGCCACGTGGGGCCGCACTCTGCCTGGTGCCATCATTAACTTGGTGCGGTCACACGCCCACTGTGATGGTTGTGGCCGTGGGACCGGAAGCCCACGTCACTCCTAGGGTTTAACAAGGTGACCGACTCCTTTAGAAGATGCGGGACACTATTCAGGACAGGCAAATTTCTTTCTACCATATCTCCAATTCACAAATTACTCCTTGATGAATTAAAACACATTTTATGACTCAAGGCGCACTTGGTGATTCATGTGTTACTGTACCTTTTATCACACTGTGCTTTCAAAATTTAGTAGCATACTCTATCTGCCCCAAAGCAAGACCAGGTCTCAAGTTAATTTTTGATCTATTTGATTGTATTTATTTATTTTTTATTTTAAAGAGAGTAGTTATTGAGAAACAAAGAAATAGAACAGTAGCAGCATACCAGTATCACAAACATAAACAAATCAAAGCAAGAACATTCCAAGTGATACAGAATCTCAAGACAAAATAATACGAATCAACAGTGGCTGTTACATTATATAT